AAAGGGGGTGATGAATAAGTGTAATAAAAAAAAAAATTTGTGGTTATTTCGCTTGGGGGGGCGAGGCGGCAAGCGCGGAGAGGGCGCACAAGCGGTGTGGGAGAGGCTGGCGCGGGGCGGGGGGAAAGTGTGGAGGCAGGGCGCAGGAGAGAGAGTCGCGCACTCGTCGCATTGCCATGCCGCCCCAGGCTCGCCGCCTGCACCGGGCGGAGTGGACGTGTCGCGGACGTGTCAAGGACGTGTCGCAGACGTGTCGCGGACGTGTCGCGGACGTGTCGCAGACGTGTCGCGGACGTGTCGCAGACGTGTCGCGGACGTGTCGCGGACGTGTCGAGGACGTGTCGCGGACGTGTGTCGAGGACGTGTCGCGGACGTGTCGCGGACGTAGCCCGTGTCTGACTACATCTCAGATCCTGCAGTCGTCTTCAGAACGAGGGCTGACGAATTTTCTTTTTCATGCGTTTCGTACTCAAAATTGGGGTCGAGCAGGTACTGCTTTAGGGCTTATTGTTGTGAGAGAGCTGCGTGACTTCTTTTTTGGTGTACCTAGTGCCAGTGCGCGCCAGTCCCATCCCTGGTCTGCCGGGAATTTCTTTTCACGCCAGTCTGCGCCCTTGTCGTGCCAGTGTGCTGTGAGAGAGGCTTGTATCTTAAGAATAGTTAGAGGCTGCGCAGGCCTCCCCCGGTATTTTATTGGTCGATACGAGTAGAGCCGCATTATATGAAAACCCCAGAACGGGTCGGACACCGTCCCACCGTCGCCTCGCTACAGACGTCACGCCCCCGCGCGCGGGGTGGCGCGAGAGCGGAGAGGAGGCAGGAGCTGCTGCCGGGGCGCGTCCCGCGCGTGTGTCTGGGCGGCGAGGGGACCAGGGGTGCCCCCCCCCCCCCCCCCCCGCGCGCGCTGAGCGCTGTCAGCGGTGGGCCACCTCTCGGCTCCCGCCGCTGAACCAAGCACCCAACTGCATGCGTGGGGGCGCCCGCGGGGCATTCCGAATACAGAAAAAGCGAAAGTGTGCCCAGGCTGTGGGCACCCCGGCCCGGAACGTGCGGAAAAGCTCCCCCAAGGCCCAGCCCCCCTCAACCGCGAAGGGGAAGGCGGTGGCCGCCGCCGCCAAGCCCCAGGCCGTGGCAATCCTGGTGCCGACCGCGGGATTTACAGGGGAGGCGGCGGCCACGAGGGAGCGGCGGCGAGAGGGGGGCAGCGGCGAGGCGCGCCGGCGAGCGAGGCGCCCGCGCCATCAGAGGGACGCCGCCGCGAGATGGAGGGCGGCGGTGACGGAGGCGAGGGTCGAGGCGGCGGCGGCGGCGGCGGCGGCGAGAACGGCGGCACCGAGTTTGTCTCGGTGAGCGGACCGGCGGCGGGAGGAGGAGCAGCGGCGGCGCTCTCGCTGTTGAGCGTGCTGTTTTGAGCCTGGGATCCCATGTCACTGCGACCGGCGTGCCCGGGAACGGAGATCGCGCGCGCGCCGCATTCACGACGCGCGCGCGATCTTCGCGGAGTCGGGTCCCCAGAGGGCAGCGGTCTTTTTGGCCGACGTCCAGCGGCGCGCAAGGAAGCAGGCGCAGCGCCGGCGGTGTCGCGCTGCATGGGCCAGCAGGGTGCAGTGGCGAGGGGCGGCGGGCTCGGACGTCCACCGAGTCGCTCCGCGCGCCAGGCGGAGCGCGCGCGCGGGCCAGGAAGCTCTCAGCAGGCTGAAGAGGACATCTGCGCTTATTGCGGGCGGAGGCGGGACTCCACTTTGTATTCGGCACACGCCTCCCTACCGGTATAAATACCGGGGGAGGTATTCTTTTCACGTGTAAATCGCCGCGAATGGTTTCTGTGTCCTCTTCTGCAAACGCAGGAAGATATTGTCATGCCGGAGGCCGCGCATCTGGCGCCGGTCGACATCGTGCTCCTGGTGCTGTACTTTGTCGCCGTCGCTCTCGTGGGCCTCTGGACATATGCCAAAGGTAAGCGATCAACCAACACGGATGCTACAGACGAGTTCTTCCTCGCCGGCCGTTCAATGGGCTGGCTGCCTATCGGGCTGTCGCTCTTTGTATCCAACATCGGGTCCGAGCACCTTGTCGGCCTTGCTGGCACAGCTGCCACCTCGGGCCTCGCCGTCGGCCTCTACGAATGGAGCGCTGGGATCCACCTGCTCGTGCTCGGCTGGCTCTTCGCGCCAATTTACCTGCGCGCGCGGCTCGCCACCCTGCCAGAGTATCTCGAGCGACGCTTCTCTCGCCGGCTGCGATCGCTCTTCTCGTGCGTCACGCTCTTCATCTACGTATTCACCAAGCTCAGCGTCTCTGTCTTTTCGGGTGCCACCGTCTTGCAGTCCGTCTTTGGCTGGCCCCGCTTCGCCGCCGCGGCCGGCCTCGTTCTGCTCACTGCAGTGTACACCGCGCTCGGAGGCCTCGCCGCCGTGATTGTCACCGACATGGCACAGTCGGCGGTGCTGCTGGTCGGGGCGCTCTGCATGACGGTGGTGGGGTTGGAGCGGGTGGGCGGGTACGAGGCGCTGCGCACGTCTCCGCCTGCCAACATGACGCAGCAGCAATGGGAGGGCTACTTCCACATGTACCGCCCTCCGTCCGACGAGGACTTGCCCACGCTCGGGCTGCTGCTCGGCCAGAGCGTGGGCGGGCTGTGGTACTGGTGCCTCGACCAGTCCATCGTGCAGCGTGTCCTCTCTGCGCGCTCGCTCGGCCACGCGCGGGGCGCCACCCTCCTCGCTGCGCTGCTCAAGGCACTCCCCCCTCGCGAGTTAGTTTTCGCAAGAAGCAGCACGAAATCAATCCCCCCCCCCCCCCCCCGCGCGCTGAGCGCTGTCAGCGGTGGGCCACCTCTCGGCTCACGCCGCTGACCCAAGCACCCAACTGCATGCGTGGCGGCGCCGGCGGCGCAGTCAGAGTACAGAGAAGGCGAGAGTGTGCACAGGCTGTGCGCACCGCGGCCGGGACGGTGCGGAGAGGCTCGCCAAGGGCCCAAGCACCGCTCAGCGGCGAGGGGGAGGGCGGTGGCGGCGGCGGCGAGGCGCGAGGCGGTGGCTGCGGTGGTGCGGACGGCGGGATTGACTGGGGAGGCGGCGGCCACGAGGGAGCGGCGGCGAGAGGGGGGCAGCGGCGAGGCGCGCCGGCGAGCGAGGCGCCCGCGCCATCAGAGGGACGCCGCCGCGAGATGGAGGGCGGCGGTGACGGAGGCGAGGGTCGAGGCGGCGGCGGCGGCGGCGGCGGCGAGAACGGCGGCACCGAGTTTGTCTCGGTGAGCGGACCGGCGGCGGGAGGAGGAGCAGCGGCGGCGCTCTCGCTGTTGAGCGTGCTGTTTTGAGCCTGGGATCCCATGTCACTGCGACCGGCGTGCCCGGGAACGGAGATCGCGCGCGCGCCGCATTCACGACGCGCGCGCGATCTTCGCGGAGTCGGGTCCCCAGAGGGCAGCGGTCTTTTTGGCCGACGTCCAGCGGCGCGCAAGGAAGCAGGCGCAGCGCCGGCGGTGTCGCGCTGCATGGGCCAGCAGGGTGCAGTGGCGAGGGGCGGCGGGCTCGGACGTCCACCGAGTCGCTCCGCGCGCCAGGCGGAGCGCGCGCGCGGGCCAGGAAGCTCTCAGCAGGCTGAAGAGGACATCTGCGCTTATTGCGGGCGGAGGCGGGACTCCACTTTGTATTCGGCACACGCCTCCCTACCGGTATAAATACCGGGGGAGGTATTCTTTTCACGTGTAAATCGCCGCGAATGGTTTCTGTGTCCTCTTCTGCAAACGCAGGAAGATATTGTCATGCCGGAGGCCGCGCATCTGGCGCCGGTCGACATCGTGCTCCTGGTGCTGTACTTTGTCGCCGTCGCTCTCGTGGGCCTCTGGACATATGCCAAAGGTAAGCGATCAACCAACACGGATGCTACAGACGAGTTCTTCCTCGCCGGCCGTTCAATGGGCTGGCTGCCTATCGGGCTGTCGCTCTTTGTATCCAACATCGGGTCCGAGCACCTTGTCGGCCTTGCTGGCACAGCTGCCACCTCGGGCCTCGCCGTCGGCCTCTACGAATGGAGCGCTGGGATCCACCTGCTCGTGCTCGGCTGGCTCTTCGCGCCAATTTACCTGCGCGCGCGGCTCGCCACCCTGCCAGAGTATCTCGAGCGACGCTTCTCTCGCCGGCTGCGATCGCTCTTCTCGTGCGTCACGCTCTTCATCTACGTATTCACCAAGCTCAGCGTCTCTGTCTTTTCGGGTGCCACCGTCTTGCAGTCCGTCTTTGGCTGGCCCCGCTTCGCCGCCGCGGCCGGCCTCGTTCTGCTCACTGCAGTGTACACCGCGCTCGGAGGCCTCGCCGCCGTGATTGTCACCGACATGGCACAGTCGGCGGTGCTGCTGGTCGGGGCGCTCTGCATGACGGTGGTGGGGTTGGAGCGGGTGGGCGGGTACGAGGCGCTGCGCACGTCTCCGCCTGCCAACATGACGCAGCAGCAATGGGAGGGCTACTTCCACATGTACCGCCCTCCGTCCGACGAGGACTTGCCCACGCTCGGGCTGCTGCTCGGCCAGAGCGTGGGCGGGCTGTGGTACTGGTGCCTCGACCAGTCCATCGTGCAGCGTGTCCTCTCTGCGCGCTCGCTCGGCCACGCGCGGGGCGCCAGCCTCCTCGCTGCGCTGCTCAAGGCACTCCCCCCTCGCGAGTTAGTTTTCGCAAGAAGCAGCACGAAATCAATCCCCCCCCCCCCCCCCCAGTTAGCTCAAACAGTGCGTGTCGCGATAGGTGGCGCCCGTCTTCCTGATGGTCCTGCCCGGCGTGGTGGCACGCTCCCTCTTTTCCGACGAGCTCGCCGCGGCCGGCACGAACGAGGCGCTCCCGATCCTGATGAAGCGGCTGCTGCCGCCCGGACTCCTCGGGCTGATGCTCGCCGCCACCGTCGCGGCTTGCATGTCCTCCCTCGACTCCGTCTTCACCGCCGCCGCCTCCCTCTTCTGCCTCGACCTCTACCGCGCCCACTTGCACCCGTCCGCGAGCGAGGCCGAGCTGGTGCACGTCGGCCGTGCGTTCTGCGTCCTCCTCGCCGCGGTAACCCTCGCGTGGCTCCCGGTCATCACCCTCCTCTCAGACCAGGTCTTCTCACACACGCACGCACACACGCACGCACGCACGCACGCACGCACGCACACACGCACGCACGCACGCACGCCAGGCCGTGCAGGGGCTCCTGTCGTTTAGACGTGGAGTCGCGAGGGTTGGCCCCTCTTGCCCCACCACCTTGGGTGTGTGGAGAGGCCTACCTTCCCTTCCCTTACCCAGGTCTTCATCTACATCCAGTCCGTCTCGATGTACCTCGCGCCTCCAATCGTCACCGTCTACTTTGGCGGCGTCCTCTGGCGCAGGGCGACCGCCGAGGCCGCCACCGCCACCTTCTGCCTCGGCTACGCGCTCGGCGTCGGCAGGCTGGTCGGGGAGATCCTCTGCAAGCTCTCGCCGCCCCGCCCCGCCTCGCTGCCCGCGCTCCTCTTCCTCTCCAACTACCTCTACGCCGGCTTCGTCATCTTCCTGCTCTGCGTCACCACGCTCGTGCTCGCCTCGCTCGCCTCGCCCTGCCCGCCGGCCTCGCAGCTCGACGGCCTCACGGCGGCGTACTCTGGCAAGTGCCTCCCCCGCGTCGCCACGCCGCGCCTCAAGGACTTGCCCACCACGCGGGAGGCCGAGCTGCCCCTGCCCGCCGCGCCTCCAAACGACGAGGGGTGCGCTGGCAGCGCTGCTCCCGCCGCCGCGCCGGCGGCTCCGGAGGGCATGCAGATGGACGACGACGCCATACGCCTCGGCACGACGCGCTCGCGGGCCGGTGGATGGCGGGGCGGCGGGGCCTGCCGGGCTTGCTGCTACACCGCGCGCGCCGCCTACTCGCGGCTGGACTCGTGGGTGGGCGAGCACTCACACGCGGTCGGCGCGGCGCTCTCCGCCGGCATCGTCGCCATGTATTGCGTCCTCATCGGCGTTTGGTTGTGACGCTACAGATCATCACAGGAGGTGTGGGGCCAGCTTGCTCCGTCAGTTGCCAGTAGTACAGATAGTGCTTTCGCCGTGTCGATGTCCACCGTGCACCGACTCGCCAGATATTAGGAGATATGCGTTATCAATATGCGTTATGCGGACGTCTCGAGATATTAGAGTAGCCCTAGCCGCCTGAGTAGGTCGCTCCACCTTCTTTGGAGAGAGGCCTTCGTGAAATTCTTTTGCGGAGCACTGAGCCACTGAGAGTCGCAAACGATGGTCGATGCCGTCGCTGGTGCGTGGTGCGCGTGCGCCAGGCCGCCGCAGCTGCGAGCGCCCAGCTGAGGGAGAGGCGAAAGGAAGGCTCGACCTCCTGGGTCAACATCTTTTACACATCGGAGAGAGTGTGACCTTACTGAACTGCCCCTAACTAGCTATGCACAACGTACCGCGGAGCATCTCGGAGCTCACCGCGGCGCGGGGAGGGAGCAACTTCATGATGCAAGCGACACACCACTACATAGCGCCGCTTGCGCTAGGAAGAGTAAACCCCTCTCTTGCGCTCGCGCTGCTTCGCCTCCTCGATCGCCTTCTTGCGCGTCCCCGCGGGGAGGGCGGCGGCCCGAGCTGCCGGTGTGTGTTCGCGAAGGGATTTGGGGGTCGTCCAGCCGAAGAACCCACGCTTGCAGCCGAGAGCGCACAGCGCTGTGTCCGCTTCCAGGGAACCTGGCTCCCAGCGTACCTGGCCAAGACCCTCGTGGGTGTGGAACACTTCCTGAAGCCGATACAGCGCCACCAGCGCGTCGATGCCGCCCGCCCTCGCAATCGCCACCTGGCTGTCGGCGCTGTCCCGAGCGAGGGTCCCCAGCACGTACGCGGCGTCCTTTGCGAGCCAAGCTCCACCAGCGTCTCGTCCAAGCCCTACAGCGCTCGTCGTGCCTTTGCGAACCAGCGCCACCAGCGCGTCGATGCCGCCCGCCTTCACAATCGCCGCCTTGTTGTCGGCGTTGGACGCGAGGTCGCTCAGCATCCCCACGGCCAGCTTCGCCATGCCTCCGCGAGCCATCGCCACCAGCGCGTCGATGCCGAACGCCTTTGGAATCGCCGCCTTGTTATCGACGTTGTTGTAAGCGAGGCGCTTTAGCGCCTCCGCGGCCTTCTCCGTCGGTCCCTCCTTGCCGCCGCGCACAATCGCCACGAGCGTCGCGATCCCGCCCGCCTTCGCAATCGCCGCCTGGTTGGCGGTGTTGACAGTTCCGGAGGGGGTGACAGTGAGGCTCTCCAGCACCGCCGCGGCCCACATCTTCTGCTGGTCCGAGCCGTCGCGAGCCATCGCCACCAGCGGCGGGATGCCGCCCGCCTCCGCGAACGCCACCTGGTTGCTGTATTCGCGATTGAGGTTGCACAGCGCCGATGCGGCCTCCTCCGTCAGCCCAATCGGTCCGCGCAGCTGTTCCACCAATTGCCGCACCTCGGACGGGATGAAAGAGTGCGGTGCATTGGCGTCGACTGGCACCTTGGTGGGCGGCTCAGCGAGGGCTTTGGTCTTTGCGGCGGCGAACTCCTCCTCCGTGAGCGCACCGGCCTCCTTCAGCGCCACCAATTCCTTGAGGTGCGGAATCATCGCCACCAATTCCTTGAGGTGCGGAATCATCGCCACCAATTCCTTGTCGATGATTCCGCCGCTAGGAGCCGGCGCTATCACTTTCGCGTGGACGACTGCACCGTTCTCCATCGTGGTCGGTGGGGTGACGCGGAGAGGACGCGCGGGGAGGGGACGTACGTAAGTACCTTGGTCGGCGGCTTAGAGATCGGCCATCACGGCGCGATTCCAGAGCGACAGCCCCGAGTTGCCCACGCAGCACGCCAGCGATCCGCACCAGAAGCGTCCGGCGCCCCAGCGCGGATGCCACGGCGCACCGACGATGACGTAGCGCCCGACCCACCACTCGATTGGGACCGTCGGCGCTGGGCAGAGGATGCTGTCGACCTCGAAGAGCAGCACGTGCGGCGCGATCGAGACGAACGTCCAGAACTCACGGCTGATGAGCAGGGCGTTGTACCACCTCTTACCACTCCTGGCGAAGAAGGATTCGGTCCGATTGTACAGCGCGTCTGGCAGCGGACGGAGCTGAATGCCACCGGATCGGAGCTGGTGGTGCAGCGCGGGAGACGAGAGGACGAAGTCACGATTCGTGCGGCCATGGATGAGAGCGATCTTCCACGCCCGCGGTAGGTGCTTCCGAAAATTGAGGAGGACCGCCGGCAGACGGAGCAGCCTGCGCACCTCGATCATGACCGCCTCGACGTGCAGGCTCCCGCTATGAGGCACGTGCGTGCCACTCGCTCGAACGCTTGCAATTGTCGCATTGGGCGTGCACACGTCGCCACCCGCCTTCGAGGTCCACCCCTTCTTCGGATGGCCCCCGCTCATGACGCGGCTGGTCCCGTCCGCTATAGGCGCTGCCTCCTGCGCCGAGGCTAGAACAGCTCCTCCTGCAGCTCACCCGGCGTCCATCCAACAAGGCCGCAGCGAGTTCCGGTCGAACTCTCTTGCCAAGTGTCACGCGCGCTTATTTTCTGAGCTTAGCCTTCGATGTTATGAAACAACGCAAGGCGGACATGGCATATCGCTCTCGGGCCCACAGACATCCCGCACACTCGCCGCACACCCGCCGCCCCCGCGCGCGCCCCGCCCCGGCCGGGAGAAAGGGGAGTGACAGTTTGGGACGGCAACAGAACGAGTATGTTGAGTCCTGGCTCAACAACGCAGATAAAGGACTTGGGTGGTCCGGCCCACAAGTCCGGCTCATGCGCCCCGACTGACCGATCTACCGCACTGATCACTTCCGCCTTATTTTCTTGATCTCTGTGTTAGTGCACTGCGCGCCAGTCCCGTGCCCAGTGTTGTGCGAGGGAGCTTTGTTGTAAAATTCTTGATCTCTTCGTGGCCACGGCCACGATTACTCATTCACCACCCCTTATAGGTTTGTTTTGTTGACCAACAACGGCACGCACAGTAAACAGTATACTAGTAGCATTTAAGCGCGCACCCCCTGCGCGCGCTCTCTCTCTCTCTCTCTCTCTCTCTCTCTCTCTCTCTCTCTCTCTCTCTCTCTCTCTCTCTCTCTCTCTCTCTCTCTCTCTCTCTCTCTCTCTCTCTCTCTCTCTCTCTCTCTCTCTCTCTCTCTCTCTCTCTCTCTCTCTCCCTCTCCCTCTCCCTCTCCCTCTCCCTCTCCCTCTCCCTCTCCCTCTCCCTCTCCCTCTCCCTCTCCCTCTCCCTCTCCCTCTCCCTCTCCCTCTCCCCGATGCGGCCGCTGCGGCGCTCGTCTATAGACCTCGCGAGCGTCGCCCGAGTACAAACACGCCTACTCCCCCCCGCTCTCCTCGTCCTCGCTCTCGGCGTCACTCTCCATATTGTCCTCTCGCAGCTCCTCCTCCTCCTCCTCCACCTCCTCGCCCACCGCCCCTACCATGACGGCCGGCACATCCATGGCGCTCGCGTACAGCTGCGTGGCCAGATGAGGGTAGCATCCGGATCGCAAGCTGACGCCGATGCGCTCGATCGCAGCTAGCGTGGTGCGGGGGTTCAGACCGCGCGAGTACTGGACGAGGTCGCGCAAAGACGCTGGCTTTGTACCGACGGCGGCGAAGGCGGCGATCGCCTCGAGGGGGCGATCGCCGCCGCTGTGCACCTGGACGAGCCGCGCCCAGTGCGCGATGCGGCGCGTGCACAGCAGCTGGCTCGCCTGAGCAAAGCTCAGCCGAAGGTACGTCATGTCCCGGACGGACCGCACAAAATCGTCGTCCGCAACAGCGCCCGCGAACTGCATGCTCACGAGTCCGCGGACCCAATCAAGGTAGTTGCACTCGTGAGAGCCCGGCGTCGTAACCGCCCCGCTCTCTAGACGCGCCAGAAGCACCGCGTGCACCAGAAAGTGCGCCTCGTACACCAGCTCCGCGTCCCAGCAGCGCACCTAATGACTCGAGGTAAAACGTTACAAGCTTGCATCGCGGGAAACAACCCGATCTTTGCACACACCGGCTCGCCCTCCGGCTCGACCTCCACCTCGGCCTCCACCTCGGCCTCCACCTATTGACAGCGCACGGGCGGGGCATCGGGGTGCGACTCCTGGCAGCGCCGTAAGCGCCGACTGCGCGCGCCTCGATGCGGCGCAGCTCCTGCAGCTCGCGCTCCAGCAGCTTTCCGGCGGGGGAGTCATCGACCAGCAGCTCGGCGAGCACCAGCTCCTCGTCAGCCAGCTCGCCGCTCGAGACTGTGGCAATGCCGTGGAAGTAGAGGAGCTCGTCGACGGTGTTGCGGCGGTCCTGCCACACATCGAGCGGGACGCTGTGCGACGACGCCACGATGCTCGCCTCCTCCCCCACGGCCGCCGGCGGGGCCCTCGGCGCTGGGCCCGCCTCCGCCACCCTCGCCTCGCTCTCCGCCTTGCGCTCCGCCGCCTGCTCGGCCCGCTCCGCCTCCTTGACGGCGGCCTGCAGCGACG